AACAACAGCCCACCAGTGGCTGAACGTAGTCCAATCTAAAAACCAATGGAGACTATTGGAAAACAACTTCAATGCTTTGAATGAAGCTTTAAACACATTGCCTTCTCATCACAATAGCTGGGGAAAAGAACAGACCTGTTAACTAATGTTCCAACTGTCAGTCACTGGTGACCTATGCACGCTTGATGTCAGCTTCATTCTAAATTATATTTTCTGCACAATCATGTACCCTTTGCATAAAGCTTACAGTATAAGTTATTCTCAAACCATCATGCAACTCAGTGTTCCAGTCTTTTTGATTGAATGCACTGCCCAATTTGCCATTACACCAGCATAGGCTCATTCTGAAAACGTAGCCCTATATCCATTTCTGGAAATTGCAAATTATGTAGCCAGAAGTACATATAGCTGCATTTCGTTTTTAAAATTAACACTACGGTGAGGTATGCTGCTGTTCCCTTTCGTGCTAGCAGCTGACACTTACCTTCATATGGATGGCTTTCCGGCTGTTTGTTCAGTTGCTTGCAGAGTATGTCGGTGGACTTGAGACACAGAGAGGAGTTAACTGTGACGATAGGAATCGAGTCCAGCGATGAATGGTTCCAGAAAGCTGGTAAAACAGAAACAAAAGCCAAAAAAATAAATAAGTAAATAACAGGGTGAGAATGTGGTAAAATCTCTTTTTCTGGATTGCTTTTTAAAACACTATCGGTTGGATTTAGGGAAGGGGTGGATGCTGGTCAATCAGTGCTTTTTAAAACACTATTGGCTGGGTTTGGGGAAGAAGGTGGGTGGAGGGATCAGGTAGTTGGTTAGTCAGTCAGTCAACATTGGCCTCTGGTGGATTTCTATGAGGAGAGCAAGTGCACTCGCGAAAGAAATTAGAGATCTCAAAAAGTGTACACAGCAGGCTCTGGTGGATTAGCAAAAACAAAAACTGCAAAAAAAACGGGACGTATTGGGACGTATTGAGCGCTTCCAGAAATGCATATAGGGCTACGTTTTCAGAATCAATTCAATCTTTCTAAAATTTTATTTGGCCTCAAAAAATTTAATTACAAAACCAATATTGTGTTTAAAACACAAGCTGCTCTATATTAACCAGCAAACTGAAAAAATTCAAGACTGCACCAAGTGAATTTTGTCAAATTTTATTGACGTTTAAAATCACCAAAACGAACAACTTAACATAACCCCACCCCCTATTAATATAGCCACTATTCCCATACTCCCCATACAGTTTGATATGGTGCTTGGACCTGGAAGCTGCTTCACGTGACGTCACTTTACAAGCGCATTAATACCAAATTGACCCCAAAATATAATATTTACTTTTTAATTTTATTTATAATATTTCTTTATAATTATTACCACATTATTATCTCTCCAATCGCAACACTAGTGAATGTAGTTAACAATGACATTTCAATTCAATATTTGCTAATTAATGGAGAAGACTCATACAGTATGTAACCCTGTTATTAATCCTCATTTGCTGTAAAAAATTTTTATCATTTGTATTATGTCTATGCTATGTCTAAACACAAATGTTCAGTTCATTTATATTCCTTCGGCTTAATTCCTTATTTATCATGGGTCACCACAGCGAAATGAACCACCAACTATTCCGGCATATGTTTTATGCAGCGGATGCACTTCCACCCGCAACCCAGTACTGAGAAACACCCATACACTCTCGCATTCACACATCATGCATTCTTGAATTATCCAATTTTCCTATACCACATGTTTTTGGAGTGTGGGGTAAACCAGAGTACCTGGAGGAAACCCACGCAAAAACTGGGAGAACAAGCAAAACTCCACACAGAAATGCCAACTGGCCACACCAGCGACCTACCTGCTGTGAGGAAACTGAGCCACCATGCCATCTCTATGTTTATTTCAGTTCAGTTAACAAAAAGCAGATTTGATGACGTGGATGTGCCATTGCAACACTGAAAGCTGGCTTGCTTGATAAGCAACCTCTAACAATTCTGATTGGTCAGTTTAGCAATGATCTTTTGTAACATTCATTTACTGATGCCTCATGCCACAGCGGAATAACCCACCAATATTCCAGCATACGTTTTACACAGTGTAATGTGTAATATTTATGTGATTTATATATATATATATATATATATATATATATATATATATATATATATATATATATATATATATATATATATATATATATATATATATAAAGTAAAAATAAAATAAAAATAACATTCCAAATACTCCAAGCTGTTCTAATGCATCCCAATAACTTTGATACATTGGGAAACAGATGCTCTCAGTTGTTGGTTTGTGGACAGTCAGAGCTACGTTAAAGAACATACACACAGTGCCAATAGAAATGTTATTCATAGATATGCCATTGGTATAATGAAAATTAGCAACAGAACAGCAGTATGGCACAGCATTCAATTTTGAACTCTCCAATGAAATGAAATCAGTAGCAGTGAAAGGAAAGGTTATCTCTGTCTGGCTAGCTAATACTGAAATTCATTTAAGCCATGCACTGAAAAAAAAAAACCTCAAGCTTCAAAGGAACTTTTTACTCCATAAACGAGCTGATGCACTGAACCTGAAAGGCTTTTTACAACTCAACATTATTTTGCCTTCAAGTTTGGATGAGCAAAAAAAAAAAAAAGTGCATTTGCATGCTATAAACCAAGACCGTTTAATAAGGCACCAAGTTGTTTATTGCTGTAAGAAAGACCCCAAACTTAAATAAGTAATAAAAAAGGCAAAGTAGTGTAATATCTTGCAAATACTGTAACATTAATTACACTGTATACAAACCTTCTGAGTCATTCAGACATTTTTCCTATCATCATTCTAGTCACAGTCAATACCAAATTTAATGGTGCAAAACTCCCGGCGTTCCTTTTAAATACGGCACAGAAATCATTTAGCTGAGTTATTCATGACCCTTGACCTGTCCGGTGAGAGGAGATGCAACTGAGGCGTGCTAAAACAGGATGCGAGCATGAAGGAAATGAGCTGTGCTAGTTGGTCAAAAGCTTCTGGATTTAATGGATTTACAGGATGTGATATTCCTTTGGTCAAGTGTTTGAACATCATGAAGCTCTAGAGTGACCCTTCAGTCAAAACACAACAAATACAGCTTCTTGTGATGAGAAAAAAAGTGTGTAGCAGCAAATAATTCTTTTTTCTTTGCCTATTTCAGTTTACTACACTGTAAAAAAAAAAATGTTGAGCAAACATAAAAAAATAAGGCAACTTGATGCAGTAAGAACTTTGAGTTGTCTCAACAACTGTTTTTTAGTTCTTCTCAGTAACAATATTTAGTTGAGCTAACATAATTTTCTTTGTTCATGCAATATTGATTATAGTATTATACTAATAAAGATATTCTTGTCACATCAACTAAAGCAACAGTTACTGCTATTGAGTCAATTAATTTTTTTCTGTTTAGTGGATGTTTATTTTCAAATTTGCAAAATACGTAATTAGTACTAGTTAGCATATCATTTTGTTTTAATCATTCTACTTACAAATGACAAACACAAACTTACTACTTCTTCAATTTATTTCCACTGAAAGCAACAGATAACACGCTTTACAATAGGAAATAGCACAAACATTTGTAAATATTTTAAGATGAAAAGTGCTTCAAATTACAAACTTTGCAGTATACAAACTTTTCTGCTAATTTGCAGGCACATATGCTAGCTTTAACATTTTAGCTGCAATAACAGCACAGAAATTAACAATTTAAACATTGCATTTGACACAAACTAAATTTGCTTTGAATGCTTTTATGCACAAATTATAAACAAAAGGGTTGATTTGGACACCAGTTTCCATAAACATTTAAACCAAAACAAAAGTTAAGTGCTTGGGTGTCTTGACAAAATGTAAACCTTTTAATTTTAAAACCTTTAACGGTAACTCTTCATAATAACTACACAAAACGAATCATTAGCAAAGCATTAACAAATAGTTAATTAATTATCTGTTAAGCATTAACTCTACATTATAAGACGTTAGTAAGCACTTTATAAATACAGCTACAAATGCTGTTATAAGCTCAAAATGTGCTTAATGATTGTATTTCATACTTTGCTTTTTATTAATTGTTCCTTACTGAATTCAGTATTGCATTATTTACAAACCATTTGTATTTAAGTGTAGCTGGTGGTTTTTAAGATCATTCAGCATGAGGTAGTAAATTATTAATGGAACTATTCAAATTAACAATTATATATCTTATTATTCAGGCATATAGTAATGGTTACTATGTATGTTAATAAATGCTTTTTTTAACTCAACTTCATCCATTTTTGTGACCTAATCTAAAGTGAGACTATTTTTGCTTTATAAATCTCTTATAAATGACAATTAAAAGCTGAGTATCAAATGAACAATAAATGTTTGCAATCTAATCTAAAAAAATAAAATTACTGTAAACTTTAAACATCGCCGAATAACAGAAATGTCAAAATACAATTAGCAATAATTACAATTGAATAAAATTGGATAAAACAATATATTATGGTATAACATTTCAGTGTTATTTAGTAAAGTTTAAACTGTACAGTAACTTCATTTTAGATAAAGTTGCAAAGATTTTTTTTTTCATTTGATAGTTTCATTTGTGTATCTTTAAATAAATAGAAATGAATTAAATAGTTCATGCTCTTTTTCCCTGTTCGGAATATAACTGAGCATTTAATTGTCATTTATAAGGGATTTATAAAGCATAAATAGTCCTCACTTTAGGTCACAAAACTGGATGAAGTCGAGTTAATAAAGCATTTATTAATATATAAATAAACTAATAGTATATGCCTGAATAATAAGATATATGAACGTTATTTGAATAGTTTATTAATAATGTACTTTTACATTCTGAATGATCTGGAAAAAACCACCACCTATTCTTAAATAACTGATTTGTAAATAATGCAATACTTATGTAATAAAAAAAAGAATCATTAACAAAGTATGAAAACGCAATTAATTACAATTTAAGAATATAGCATTTGTGGCTATATTTATAAAGTGCTTATTAATGCCTATTAGAGTTAATACTTAACAAATAATGAACTAACTATTTGCTAATGCTTAACAAATGATTCATAGTGTGTAGTTATTATGAAGTGTTACCCATTTAACTGAACACAGTGCCTAAACAGTGGCTCTCATGAAACAGATTTAGTACTCAAATTGTACATTAGGTCTTTGTAACATCAGACCATTGACACAACACTGTTTACAGTATTAGTTTAACATCTTGTTTTTAAGAGAAAGCACACGTTGCGTACATCCAGTCCCAAGCTCCATGAAAACATTCTGAATTGTGTCAAAAGTGTACCGGAGTTCTTTGGGATAGGAAAAGTTGAGTGCATAAAGAAGGCCAAAGAGGTATGCTACAGCACTTGAGGTATCTGGAATGTCTTCCAAAACAACAACCTCTTCCAGTACAACAGCAATGTTCTGGATCACTGGAGATGCTGCCCGGGAGTCCTCTTCCGTAACATAAAGAATGCCAACTGATACGCCCTTTGTTCCATCTTCAGTTTCCTGTGAAAACACAATAAGAATATTTGAGCATAGAAAGTCATTATAGTACTTTATCTACAAACAAGCAAGATGTTATATTGCAAATATAGCTGTCATGCTTATGAAATTTAGGTGACGATTAATTGTCAAATAAAATATTCCAATTAATGGTGATTATAGAGATTTAAAAAATTTTGCAAGTACTTGTTTATTATAGGGCTATAACAACACACACATTTAAATAATTGTAACAAAGTTATTTATTCAGTTAAAAATATATACCATTATCTTTCAGAAATATGAACATTCTGTAAAAATAACAAACCAGCATAATACAATGACTATGCAAACTTAATTGCAGTTAAGCAAAATGACCAGTTACATCAAATAGTTATGATCATAAAACTGCTATGTAATGTGTAGTTTGTCTGTAGGAAGACATAGTGTTATAATTCAAATCATTAAGCAAAAGCGAATGTAACAATTAAACAGACAACATGTAAATAACAAGGATTCATCAGTATTCATATGCAACATTAATGCAGTAATTGGACTTTAAATATTTTAAGTGATTTATTTTAAAATACTGTCATAAATGAATAAATACATAAATGCTGATTTGTTGTACTCTGAATAAAACAGCTGCCATTTTGGTTGACAAGAATAACGTCTCAGACTCTCGGCACAACTCTAATTTTATGTAATAACAGACAAGGCAACAGTTTCTCTTGCATCTCTTTTACATGTTCTTTCCCTTAACTACCTGCATAAATCAGTGAGCAGGTCTAAACTGGTACTAATATAGAACCTGATATCAATCTTTTAAAAATAACAAGATACTTGTGAATCATGAAATTTACTTCTTATACCTTAAGATCAGAAGATTTGTAATTTCTGTTAATGATACCTAAATTAAACATTTTAACTCAGCTAATCAAAAGTTTTCATGAAAGCTCCAAATAGATTGGCACTCAACTTTTCAAGACACCAGCAATACAGAAGCAAGTTTGGACACTCATGCTTTAAACCATTTAAAGTGTTTGATACCTACTTTACATTTCTTGAAAAGGTTAGTGTGTTTCTCTCGAAGAAACAAAGGCAGGCCCTCCAAAGCAGCAGTCCTTCTGTGATTAACAATTTCTGTTGTCTGCAAAAACATAAAAAAGATACAACCAAAAAGTCACAGAATAACAACTGAAATATCATCAACTACATAGATCAAAAACATGTAAATAATGAAAATTATTAACTTACCCTTTCATCAAGTCTTTCCAGGAGCTCTTCCATTTCATGTCCAAACGCTCCTTTTCTGGCTCTGTATAATTTCAGAAGCTTTGGTGTGTACTTGTCAGTGGCTGCCATGAAGACTCCTAGTAGGTCTTTGTTGGTGATGCGGAAAAATTCCTCACAGATCTATTTAAAACAAACCAACCAGATTTACAGCAATCAATTTTTTCTGTAAACAGAGCATCTTGCATTCTGTAAACTTAAAGCCTAATAAGTAAGAAAAAAATTATCTTTACCTGTTCTTGAAAAAAGAGTGCAGGCCACCTCTCCTGAACCTCTACAATCATTGGCTGCTCTTGGACCATTTCTTTTCTTCTAAGGGAAAATGTTAGTTCCATTTTTTCACTTATGGCTGCCATGTCTCTTCTTGCCTTTTTGGTTTCCTCTACCAAAAAAACTCTTTGCTCTTCAAGTGAAGTGTCAGTGTGGTTGCATGGATGTTCCGGTACATGATTGACTTCTCCACGCTTTGCCTTTTTCAGAGTGAAACTCCTCCGACCACTGGCATCATCGTTTCGCTTTCTGTTAACAATTACTTCATTGCAACCTGCCTCTCGCAACTTTGCCCTATAATTGTTTAGCTTGTTTTTGATGCTGATCAACCATCCCTCAAAACCCTTTCCTTTGCCAGGCTCCTTAAGGCAAGGATATTTTAAAACCAAAGCAGATGCAATGGATTCAATTTCCTGATTGTCAGGGTATGCCTTTATGTCAAAAACTGTCTGCACTATTTTGTCAAGAATCTCTATTTTCATGTCTCTAGTCACATCAATGCCTATTTTTGTTTTTTCAAATGCCTCGTTTCCTCGTCTTAGTTTTAGCTCCACATCAAATGACAGCGCTGGTATGGGGAATGGCGAGGGCCATTCTGAGGCAGTACGTAAATAGTTTTGCACAGAGCCTGAAGTGCTTGGCAAGGATTCTTCAGAGTCGAGACTAGCAGTATCAAGTGATGAAACTGATGGAAGGCTACTGCTTTCATAAGCTGATGACTTGCACCACTGAATATGCAAGACTGCTTTTCCACTGGGCAATTCTGAGATGTCAGACAGGTTGCAAAGTGCATTGCCAAAATCAGCATCCTCAAACTTAAGAGAAAACTGTCCTTGTAATTGCAGCTTCTCTTGAAGAATAGTGATGAGAGATTCCACTGATTCAGGCACTTCAGGAAGCTGGACTCGCCGGGCTTCAGTGGAGGAAATGATGACTCGTAGTAGCAAAGGCTGTAAATAAACAAGAAGCCAATTTTAATTACTAAATTTAAGCAATTAATAAATTAATTAGTTAATGTGGTACATACCATTGTAAAGGACATTTAATGCTGCAAATAGGTCCTCAGGGTCACGAACACTTTTGATCCCACACTGTATGGAATTAATGGGTGATAGCCATTTAGGTCACCAGAGTCAAAGATAACCATGTCAGTATAGTGGCTTTCAACAAGTTCATAAGATCTCAAATGTTCTAAATACCAGGCAGAAACCCTTTTTGTTATAAAGAACACTTTGGCAGAATGGATCAACATGCTTTCTATTCTGAAGAACTCAGGCTGTCCATTGCAGTGTCCTGCCGATATGATCATGTTCTTGGCATATCTAGTTCCATGAAGACAAACGTCTCTGGACAGTGACACAGTGTGCAACTGTGGGAACTTTGTTTGTACAGCATGCCTCAGGGTTGCATCCAACAATGATATGCTAACCACATCCAACTTTTCAACATGCAAGTCTGACTTTAAAAGGCTTTGTGCATCCAAATGGTATGCAATCATCTGTTGATGTTTCATGGAAAGAGTGAGAAGTACATTTTTCATGTTGTGGGCATCACGTGCAACCTTCTTGAAGAAAGAGTGCTTAGACTCAAAGCGCATGGTCCACAAAGTCACTAAAGGTCCAAAACATTTAGTTAGTTCTGGGTAGTGTTCGATAAAGTGATGCTTAGGCTTTAATGCATAGTCCGGAAAAGTGGAAGTAAGAAGCAAGCGGTGGTCAGAAAATTTAAATGACAAGTAACACAGAGTTTCATCAGAGAGACTGTTTGACAAAACAATCTCAACTATTTCTTTTAGGTCCATTAATATGTCCCATGATGGCTCATGCTCTGGGATACGATCCCCAATCATCAGAGGAAGTAAGCGCAATAACGTCCAATTTTCGTGTCCATTTCCTCCGATTGATCCTTTAGCAAGACTTGTTTTTAGAATTGTCTTTGGTTTGTTGACCCTGTCAGAGTACTTGTAAGGAAATGTTCTAATGGAGTGATTTACTCCTTCAAGAGTAATGAAACCTTTGGAAATTAAGTCTCTGAGGCACAAAGATAACTCCACAGGGATGACCCCTTCAAAGAAATCATGTAAAATGTCCGGGGGAAATCCAGTTACAGGATGAAAGTATCTTAAGTGTTTGCTCAATGCACACTCACTCTTTATACCATTAACACTCTGAACAGCACTCTGCTTAAGCTGTTCTACAAATAAATCATGTTGATCCACAGTTCTCAAAGGAAAGTCACATGGTTTTACAGTTGAAATCTGATCACGACTAATCAAACAGAATCGACAGAATTTTTCTACATTAAAATTTTCCTGAAAACCAGCAAGACCATGTGCTCCAAGATTATCGGCACACACACAGAATACAGTTGGTTTTATATAATGTCCTAAAGCTTCCACAAACAAACCTTCATGCTCCAGAGATTTTAACTCTTTTATCAAAGGTTCAAGAAATTTGTCAAATCCAAATTTTTTAACATCAATACTTTTTCCTAAAACAGCTAACTGGATTGATGATAAAGTAGATCTTAAATTTGCAGGTAAATTTAAGACCACCCAGTACACAGCAGTGATTTTATGGATTTTTCGAGATGTTCCAAGAGGGTTGCAAATTTCAAACTCATCCACATAAAAGGCTAAACTTAGTTTAACATCATCTTCTGTAACAAATCCACTTTCCCTGTAGTACTTTCCATCTTTAAATGAGCTGTATTGTCCAGGGAGATGTTTATGTGTAAATTCAATGTTATTTAAAAAGCTGTCTTGATTTAACAAGGTTTCAAGCAACCGAATGACTGGAACATGAACAAACACTTCTTTATGAGAATGCTCATAAAGATATTCAGTAGGTTCGATTACAAAAAAGTTCCTTTTGAAATATTGATTTCGTTTATAGTCAGTAGACAAAGTGCCCTTTTCAGAAATTGATGCAAAAAGTGGATTTGTTAGACAAACAGAATCTGCAATTTCCTTGATTACAACACTTTCAATGTTAATATTGTGCTTTGTTACAATTGTTTCTATTGTATGAAGAGCATGAGATTTTGAGAACAAAAAAAATACTTTTAAGTTCCTCAAAAATTGTCTGAGTAGCACTTTTTGAGACATGCAAAACAGTTTGCATACACAATAAAAGTGAGGCGATCTTGCGTTCAAGTGTATGAACATTTACATCTTCAACAGACTCTATTATATCCTCTTCATCAAATTCACCTATATTCTGTGTTGTACAAAGAACTTCTGAGACTCCGAGACTATCTGAAACTATCTGAGACTGTCTGTCACTTAAGGTTTGATTTCTATGATTTCTGCTTCTATGCGAGCTAAAGGTTGGGCGGTTGTTTGTTTTAAATCCACATCCTTTAAAGGGACACTGAATTGTTTCTTTACGTTTCAGATGATTTTGTAGGTGAAGAAAAAATCTTTTTTCAGTACAAATCTCATGAAATTCACATAGTCCACAATTAAAAGTTGAAAGATCTCGACTGACTCTATCAGTGTTGTGGTGTGATTTAGATAAGTGGGATCGTAAAGCACCTGCAGTTTTAAAAGCACAAACACACTCCGTGTAAAGACAGGGCCAGTTGGAAATTCTATGATGATGTAGCTGATAGTGCTTCAGAAGGACATCTTCACTTGAAGTGCTGAATTTGCAGTTTTTACACTGCATGAAGTCTTGAGGAGATCATCCTGAAAACAGAAATAATCAGTTATAACCTTGTATTGTTAAATCACAACTTTAAATAAAATATAATTCTTACAAAAAATATATTTGAAAAAGCTTCACATTTAAAATTTTTTAAACATTTTTCAAGTTTATGCCCCCATATTTTAACATGAAACATGTTTGGGAGCAGACAATGATATCAATATCAATATATGATATTGATGTATACAGAGGAGTCCACAAATAATGTAATATAGTTAGTAATAATATATGCTTTGAAATTAAGACTATTTTAAACCTAATAGGAACTATTTATATTAATTTGACAGGATTAAATAACGTTTTCGGCAATATTTTATAAATAAAAAATATAAACTACATTTACATATTACTTTATCTAATATAATCTGAATATCTGTGCTTTATATATGTTTCACAAATTTATAAGTACAACTTACGGTCTCTCACTCGCTCTTAGTGATGGGAAGTTCGGATCATATTACTGATTTGGACCTTTGAGTCTCATTCGTTGAGATGAACAAATCTTTTTTTCAAGTCATTTCCATCAATTTGCCAAAATATTATTAAAATGATACAGGTTATTCCAAACGCATCTACAACTAGCCCAGACGTTGATCACACTACAAACAAGTCATAACTTGAATGCTATAAGAAAAAGAAAATAATCGTTTGTTTACCTAGTCTTTTGTCTATGATAATGTGAGTTCAGCTATTCTGACAGGTCTTCAAATTTGAGGGGTTCGTCTACGTCACACAGACAGACCCATATAAGCTTAACCAAAGCACAGTCTGAACCGAAAGGAGCCATTAGTTCACCTTTCGAGTCATCTGGTTTTTGACTCGTTCGTTCATCACGTGACAGCATGTAAAGAGAGATGACTTAACGCCGAGGACTCGAAAGAAGATTTAAAAAAATTTCCGGCTCTGATTGCATTTCATTGCCTTATGTCTTTAACGTGATGAACGAATGACTTAAACCAGATAGAGGACTCGATAAATGAACTAATCTTTTCCTCCACCTGCACAAATGTGCGCATGCGCGAGTGGACAAATCACTCCTAGAGAGGACTCGTCGTTATCGAGTCATACAAAAGATTCGTTCAAAATGAACGAATCGTTCAAGAACGACCCATCACTAGGCGGCACACACGGAGAAGCACGTAAAATGAGAAAAATGTGAAAACTCGCCAGAGAAATGAAAACGTTTCACCTAAAAACAAACAAAACCTCTGAATTCCCTAACGTAAATGTTAATACTATGGTCCCATATTAGCCATCTTTTATCAGTGATTAACAGTTAAGCATAATGATGTAATTTTAGTGTTAACATGAAACATTTTAAACTTAAACGGCACAGAAAAGCAGTTTCCGTTTTTTTCCAAGTAATGTCTTAAGGAGCGGCACAAGCTTAACTGGCGTTAGGCAAACGACGACCGTGCCGAACTCACGGTCCTCCGCCCTCTCGAAGGTGCGGGCGTGGGCGGGAAGGATGTCGCGCGGGGTCTCCATGCCTCCCTGAGCGATTGACTCTGCCTAAATCCGCCACTTATGTCATGAATACACGGAAACATTTATGAGTTTGTACTTAGCTGAAACTATAGGCCACATTAATTACCCACTGCATTTGAAACTTCAGCATATGCAATAATTCTCGTCGCTAAAAACAAACCGTCAGGTTGTGAATATAGTAAAATTCATTGCATGCATAGAATTAGTGTTAATAAGTGTTGTTACTCACCTACAGGAACAAGTTAATGTTTAGTTCCTCGAAGAGTCGAAAATATGCGTGAAGTCCGATATGGCACCAAGACAAAATGGAGATGAGGAGCGAAACGAATGGTCAATATGGGGGAGGGTTGGCGCCGTTTTCAAACGTTGCGTCACGCATGCGCAATTTATTTAAATATCAACATACCTGTTCAACACAAAAATGTATGTCCAGAAAACTCTGGTAAACATGTAGACATAACATTTTAGCGAATATTATTGACATAACATATATTTTTATGTAGATCAGTAGTTATTCACAATTCTTAGTATATATGACAGAAAAAGTACAGTGTGCTGAACAAATTGAAATTTTATTTTTTACAGTGTAGGACTTTTAGGGCCCTATCATACACCTGGCACAATGCGGCACAACGCAATTGTTGTTTGCTAGTTTCAGCTTGGCGCAATAGTCATTTTGACGTTTTGCACCGCGCTGTTTACATAGCAAATGCATTTGCGTTCATGTGCGCCCATAGGCGTTATGGTCTAAAAAGGGAGGAGTTTTCAGATGCATTGCTGGCGCATTGCTATTTTGAGAAACTACAAAAGAATTTTCAATAGACCAGAACAAAACCGGTCTACAGTCCAGTGCAGAACGCGTTAGTTGTGCGCCACGCTTAAACATTGCTTAATACACACAGGATGTACAGCAATCTTTACAAATGAAAAAGAATTAAAGGATCAAAATATTACAAAAAATATTATTTTCAAGCCTAAATAAATATAAAAACCATACTTTCTCGCCGGGCCTTTTCAGTTTTTTAATAAAAGCTTTTGTATGATGTTATTATTATTAGCAGTATTATATATTATATGCATTTTTTAATTTGCTTTATTAAAAACAAGCTTGGATTTGTTCACCTGGTTTTAGACCATATCGGGCATGGCATGTGTATTTGGATATAACTCATTTTTTTTTACAACACTTCATAATTATTGTTCATTCATTCGTTTGCTGGAAATCTAAATTTTTGAATTGAATTTAGAAATAGTTTTGAAACAAATCTTTGCCCTTAACAAGCAAAATTAATTATTTATAGGCTATTGGATGTCTGTGCGTACAACAAGTTTCCTTATCCACGAGAGTGAAAGGTGAAAGTAAAGAATGAGGAGGCTCATCTCTCATTCTCGCACTGTAGATGCTCTGTTTAACTGTTTCCTCTCTAGTGAAGCATTTAGTTTTTCCACTTACAAAGTCCACCATGTAATCTCTGAATGGTTTATTCTCAAAACACAAATATAACTCATTAAGAGAATAAGCTCAACCCTGTTAGACCATGCGCTGCGGCGAAAAGTGGATTTTTCTGTCCTAAAAATAGCAAAAGTGGATTCTGACACGCCCTTCATGCGTTTGCATACGTTTATTATAAATTAATAAATAAAGAAATAAATGCAAAGCTTTGAATAAATGTATAGTTTGTGACCGCTTATATTTTTTCAAACATCAGACTTCAAACTCGATAAATATATTTATATCTAGTATTTATTCATTTAAAAAAAAGTGTGTTACAAGAAAAGAAAAAACGTTTTTGTCAACCACTCATACACACATTAGACATCAAAAGGGATAACAGAATAATTAAAGAACTTGATTTTGTTTTTTAGAATTAATGAGATCTTCATAATTCAAAATTAGGAATTAGAATTTAAACTATTCTTGTTGGACAATCTATCTACTTAAATACTTAAAAAAATCAAAGTAAAGAACATAAAAAACTGGGATCTCTTAGTTTTATTTGTGTACAGATGAAGCCCAACATTTTACAAAGCCTTCAGAGTTTAGAATCATAATTTTTTTCGAGCCAGAAAGAGGCCATTTGCGTGCTGTACATGTTTCCTCATCAGTCTCTGTCATTCTTTTCATTTTCTCCCAAAGCTCAGACTCTGTGACCTTAGAGACTCGCAGGACGCCGATAAACACAGATGTGCGTGAAAGGACTCTGAGTCTCTTTTTGTTTTATTGGTCAAATAAGCATCCCATCTTTCAGACTGAACTCAACTATGCCAAAAAAAGACCAAGATAACAGATGTTTTCATATTTCTTTCAGATAGAAAAAAAAACATACACAGACATCAATTGTGTGCCTCCAAAAATGAATCCATCTGAATTGTTAAATGAGCTAAATGTAATATTTTTAATCCATTAGTAATCAGTATTGGGTGCAATTAGTTACATAGGAGCTACTAGTAACTGTAATTAAATTATTTTTTTGGTGATGAAGTGAAGGGATTACTTTTCATTTTTTAGTTTAATTACACTTACTTATACTTGCCTTAAATACTTACATAAATTCAACAACTATATATCAATTCATACAAGTAGAGCAATATATTTTTTGCAGAATATTTTTTTCAACTAAAGAACATATGTATTGATTGATTGATTGACTGCACAATTATTTTAAAAGTTTATTTGTGTAACAATTGCAGGTTAAGAAAACAATGAACTGTTTTAAAAATGTTTTAAAAGTGCAGTGAACTGGTGACCTTCACGGCCAATCACAGTCATTTCTGTTGAGCTCCGGGGAACACTACGGCAAATCAGTGGTGTTGCGTTCAACAGCGCTTAAATGTTAGCAGGAAAT